TCAGTGGTTTCAGACACACTTTCAGCCGGAGCCGGTTCTGGCTCTGGTTCAGCCGTCACATTATTGGCTTCAGCTTTCGTCTCAAGTTTTGGAGACTGCAGCTTGCCATTCTGATGAACGGTGATGTCACTCTTGACTGTAAAAAACAGAATACCAGACACAATGATTATTTATTGTTGAAAATATCACTAAAACAGACTATACAAAAGTCCTGTTTAGTGTAAATATGGAGTCTGAGATGATCTTTTTCAATAATTACACAGCTGTTTCTGCTAGGCATCAATGCACATTAGGATTTTAATCCACTTGCATGCAACATTTAATTGATATCCTAGCGTCTAATTCTTCATGAAGTAAACATGGGCTAGTCAGTGCAAGAAAGTGGCATCTTTATCTCCAGGGTCAACATTCCAGCTCTTAAACAAACTAAAGAGCCGGTGGGAATTGCTCAGCGCTGCTGTCGCTGCAGCGACACGAACCTCACTGTGACAGATCAAATAATCGCTCCTTGTCAGCTTCCTGAGACTACGCCCAGAGTTTACATTAGGAGATCCGACACAGGACCCAGCTGGGACTCTCTGTATTTGGAGAGACCTATTAGTCTGAATGGTAAGTCAAACAGGGACATTTAAAAGGTCAGCCGATTCAGCCTGTGATATTTTCCCAGAAAGTGGAATTTGGTGTAAGGTGAAAACAAGAAGGATAAATATTTCCAGTGCATAGCTTTGCTCATTCTGCCGACAAACCAAGGTCTATTTTGAGTCAGAAATTAAAAGGAGGGAGAAAAGTCACCATCAGCCTCCAATCCATTGAGTGTGATGCTTGCAGAGATGCCATTCACTGATCCATTTTCATGTTTTTCTGGAATTGTCCCATTCTATGGACGAATAAGGGAAACAAAGCATCTCTATGAACTTCAAAAATAACACGTAGCTGCATCACAATCACCAGTTTTAAGGCCTGCTGTTCTCCCATGTGCATTCTGCTACTGATGTGCAGTCATTTGTAAAGTTCAAGATTTGTTGTACATGTTTAGTGGTTACTATGTACCTCTTTTACCTCAGTTACTTCTTCAGGAGCTGACTGTTCGTTTCCCATGATGGTCCCAGTCTGGGTTTGCCACCCTTTCTTCTAAAACACATCCAGCACAATAAGAAAACTCTTGGATATGAAATGTTATGTAGAGACATAAAACAAAAATAGAGAAATCAAATATTTGAATCATTAAAAGTACAATTAATGAGTATTGTGAGTATGTTTAGTCAAATATTTTACCTTGTGACACTCCTGTAGGTCAAGTGACTCCAAGAAAAAAAAGAATATATGCCTGTCAGAGAGATGGATGCACTCCTCCTGTCTTGCTGCCTGCGTATAAAGGCTGTTATTGACAGACTGTTTTATGTATGCTTTAAAATGGGTGTGACTGTTTTGAAGCAGTCAGCTGGATTTCCTACAGTAAAAAAATCATGTTAATCCATCTGAAAGTTTGGTGATCTCTAAGTTAGAAAACATATTGCAGATGTTGTAGTGAGTGTACAGGGGGGTCAATAACACAAACATTTTTATTGAGTTTTAAGGTCTACTGCACAAAAATGAGGCGGTGCAGGACAGGTTGTTGATGACTGTCACCCAGAGTAACAGGATACGAATGAAGGATGTTGTTTTGGCTTCCATCCATTAGTAACTTTTTTTTAAAAATATATATATGGATGTTTACACTAATGTTGCTTCATTTTCTTCATTTTTAAAGGAGAATCTTGAATGTTTATGTCATTATGGGGATTTTCTGTTTCTTACTTTCGTAGCATGAATCAACCCTTGAACTTTGACTTTTTTATTTGCAAAGAGATTCTGCTCTCCTGCCCACTTTAAATAGACTGCTAGGTTTTTATCAAACGTATCCCTTAATTTACAACTTTTGTGATTCAAAGATCAGTTTTGCTCTCAGTCTTGATAAATAAAACTCGTTTAGAGCAGCTAAAGTTTTAATGTTACATGACCCTTTGAAAAAAGACTGCTTTCTTATAGATATCTACCCTAGAAATCTTGTTTTTATTTGGAACGACATGTTATCTCTATTTTTCTGTTCTATTTCTATTTTTATGTTAAAGAAAATCTTTAAACTTTTGTAAAAAAAAATAAAAAAGAAAGATAAAAGGAAAAGAAAATTAAAAATGATTAATACATTTGCTCTTACAGGATATTGATACTGATGGAAAAACAATATTTTGCTTTTATTTATCATTTAAAGCGAAAGTTATTAAGAGTCGCTGACTGCCAGCTTTTGAACATCAATCAATCAAATCAATCAATTTTATTTGTATAGCACATTTCAGCAGCAAGGCATTTCAAAGTGCTTTACATAATTAAAATAAAAACAGCATGTGAGAAAGAGATTTAAAAAAACATAATTAAAACGTAAACAGTGAGAAAGAGAAATAAAAAGCTGTAGAACTTTAGTTGAGACGCCGTCAACTGGGACTCCAACCTTTTGGATTTTAGTCAAAACACCGTTTGACAAGGACTCTAACCTCTCGGACTTTTTTTTTTTTTAAATATAAAAACATTAAAATCACCGAAACAGTGAGAAAGAGAAAGACATTTTGAAAAAGATTAAAAAAGATAAAAACATTAAAACCCACACCCCTTTGAGGACCTCAGTTAAATGACGTTTAAGGAGTCCTTATCTGGAAAACATAAAGATGTTTTCCAGACATTACAATCTGTTATTGTATGATTCTGCATTGCAGCTGCATTAAATATTTATCTGTTTTTAACAAATTCTTTACAGATTAATCCACAAATTAAGCAGTTTGCTTCAATGTTGCATGAGCAATGTCAAATCAATAATCTAGAGATGTTTAAATACTTTCAATAAAAAGAATGTTTAGAATAAGCTGATGCAAAAAAGAAAAAAAAGAACTTATTTTGGATAAAGTCACATCAGTGAGGCTTTCTGGTGTCACAGAATAAGAACTCTTGTGACTGGCTGATTTCAGGGTGCCTTTAACTCATTGGCCAGTTGCATGTCTGATGCAACACATGACAGACAAGAGTCCACTTTTGATCTGGTGAGACACTACATCCATTGAGTCGACCGCAAACAAATGCTCTGGAACAAAGTGTGAGGCCATCTGTCCAACAGCTGAAGCTTGGCTGAAACTGGGTCATACAAGCAGTGAAGGATGGTTCTGAACGTAAACTGAGCCACAATTCTGTCAGACTAAATACAGTTAGACTAGCTTGACTTTGCTCAATAAATAATGACAGCATTGAAGTTGTAGAGTGCTTTTGTTATCAGTTTGATATTTAAGTGATTTTAAAACCAGGTGAAGACCAGAACATGTATTTTTCTAGATACATAAAAGTCTTGAACTGAGAGCACATGCTTTCTACCATTAAATCATACGTCATACTCCTCAATTTGTTTTAAGTATATCAAGAATTCACTCTATGTTTCAGTGAGTCTGATTATACTTAGCTTTACACCAGCCAATTAAGTGTCTACATTTTTTTAAAGATGCATTACTTATTGAATTGAAATTCTTATGATAAACCTTGTCATCCACAAAAACAATGCCTCAATTGTAGGCTATAGTCTGCACACTTTGGTGGGAGTTGGATTCCCCTGTTTGGCCTGTGCACTTCATGCAAACGCTTCATGGCATACCAACGCATAGCAGCCTACTGGTTTTATTGGAGGCAGAGACCTTCACAAACAGGCCATTGATTTTCAGACAGAAAACTGGGATATTTGCAAAGGTTCTCATGACTGTCCCGAATCTTTGTGTGTAACAGCTTATTATGGTGTTGCACACAATTAGATTAATGGTACTCTTACCTCGCAGATGTGTTCAGCAAATATTTGACCTTGGGTGCAGTACTGTTTGCTGTCCAAATACGAGCAACGCAGCAGTTCCGGTTGATGTTGGATCTGCATTGGAAAGTTTGCAGGTTCTGGTGTTGTGATAATTGTTACATGTTAATATGTTGTTTAAAATGTTTAATTAAGCAAAGCGTGTTAGTGCAATGTGTATTTAATGTAAGGATGTAATTTCGGTTGTAGACAGTGCCGTGAAGAAAAAAGGTATAATGGTCACTAAATGTTTTCTTACCAGTTATCTGTTTATTTTAGTTCTTGGACTTTCTCAAGGGAATCTTTTTTGTTGTTGTTTGAGACAGTTAATTATTCCTAAGTATTTGGTTGCTTGAACTGAAAATGCATAAGAATTATTTGCTTGAACAAAGTGAAAAAAGTTGAAAATTGTTCCAAATTGTTCATATGTTTAGATTTGTGTGCAATGAAGCTGGACAAGTGAATGGAAAAAAGAGCTGGCTTGTAGCATATCAACAGAACCTGAACCGTGTGTCACCAAAAGGTAGGGAAAACAATAGCATCGTGCAATGCTGTGGTGAATTTCTAAAGAGAACAGCAAACGGATAGACAGAAAAAATGTGTATTGATTACTACAGTTACAACGTAGTAGCCTTTGCTCACCTGCAGCTGAAGGATGAAGTGAGGCACGGCAAATAAAGATTTCAGTCACTGTATAAAAAACGAAATTTTCTCTATTGCTTTTTATTATAATAGAAATGGTTTGTTTTGGAGTAGGGTTTTCAGGAGTTCAGATTGTAATTTGAATTTAAAGCATTTGATTAAAAGAATAGCATACAATGCTTTCATTTATTTAATTTATAACTCATGTTGGCTTGACAATACTTATGGTGAACAATTCCTCTGGACTTAATATATTTAAAAAAAAAGTCACACAACCTGCAGAAAAATCAAATTTCAACATTACAAATTAATAAAAAAATAATTTATGAGCAAGAAAAAAATAATTTAGTAAATGTTTGGACAGGTGTTTATTTCATTTGTCCGGTCCTTCTGAATCTGATAGCTTGGAGGGAATAGAACTAGTTACTACTCAACCCTGCCATGCATATGGGTATAAATCTGTATGAGTTCAATATGTTGTGAACATGTGTATACGCGTGCAATGTATTCGTTCCCCGGTAGAAGGCGCTGCTGCAGCCGTGTTCTGCTGAGCACCGCTGTTCAAAAATAGAAGAAGTCAAGATGGCAGCTGCCACCATGAAGGGACCTGTAGTAAGTGATGTTTTAAAGAAATACTTTTGTTTCTTGAAACTTTATATGCAGTATGTATTTGCGGAACAAGTGAAAGAGTTGAGGTGTTGGAGAGATAGAAGTCAGAATTGTTGATATCAGGAGCATTTTTAAATTCATGTCACATCCTCGTGCAGTGAGCTAGCTAGGAAGCTAGCTCCAGTCCCTCAGCTGCTAACTGTTATTCTTGAAGTTCAAGACGAATGTTATCTCAAACCAAACAAGAGCAGTGAAAACCAACAAGACAGAGATTTGTGGTTCTGTCTGCCATATTTGACGTATATTTTTGGTGAACCTACTAACCGGGGCTTGGTTACAGGCGGTTGAAGACGTTGTCGTCACTTTTGAAGACCAACAGAAGATCAATAAATTTGCCAGAAACACGAGTCGGATGGGGGAACTCAAAAACGAAATAGAGTCGAAGAAAGTAAGTAGCACAACGATTTTAAAACTACAGTATTGTGAACATAAAGACTGAACTATACTGAGTTGACCAGAGACGCATATCTAAAATTACTGCAACATAACATAATATTTCTGCTGTCATGATGCATACCAGAAGTTTGAATTAGTTTGAATTAGAAGAATAGAAACATTCTTTACTGTCCCACAGTGGGGAAATTCACAAAGAATATCTGATATATATATATATATATATATATATATATATATATATATATATATATAAACTTTGCAGAAGAGAAACATTTACAACATAAGAAAAATACGACTTCTCAGTCATTTTTAAATTAGCATTCTCACATTAAAAGACGTATTAAGGGAAATAGGGTAATTTAAAGTTCACAAAATGTGCATGTGTATATGTATAAAAACAATAGACTAAGAGGTGAAGAAAACATGCAAATGACGGCAAGAATATTATTTGAAATGAGAAAACTGCTAATAGCAGGGATGTAAACTCTTTTTGAGTTTGAGTCATTTGGGAGCAGTGATGTTTATAAAGTTTTTATGCTGCTGCAAGAAAGGATTTGAGGTACCTTTACAGAATTGTTATATTTTTACATTAACATTTAAATTACTTATTTGTATACGTTATGAACGGATACGAGCTGGTACACTTCATTATTGACAACATTTTGATTATATCAAAAGTAAATATTACTTCATTATATACAATATTTGATTTATATCATTAATAGTGGTAGGTTATTTTTAATAAGGAGTTTTACATCTTCCCGGAAGGCTGATGAGCTGCTAAAGTATAATGTCAACAGTTAAATAGCCCTCAGTGTAATTGTCTGCTAATATCACTGTGCAGAAAACGCTGCAGAACCTGCAGGACGCCAGCGATGAGCTCATGATGTTGGATGACGACTCCTTATTGGTCCCTTACCAGATTGGTGGTGTTTTTATTGGCCACTCTCAGGAAGAAACACAAGAAATGCTAGAAGCTGCCAAGGTAAGTGTTTGTCACTTAGCACCTGTTCTTATTCTGTCTTCTCTGAAAGTTTAGTAAGATGTGCTGTTCTGTTGGAGTTATATTCCAGAAGCTTAACATTATAATTTTTAGCATACCTGTATTATGATGATGACTCTGTTGCTCTCTCTTCTGTACCTTAAATATTTGAGAGGCACAGAGCGGACGTAGTACATAATAGAAACTAAGGTTCATTTTTAGGAGATGCTTATGAACTTGATGCTAACAGGGTTTGGAAAAACATGTTGAATGTCTTTTTAAATATAATGATGTCATTTAATAAATGTTCCTTCAATGAGGTGACACATTGAGGTAATCTATATGTGTGAAGAGTAAAATCAACACAAAACATGCAGTGTGGTATCCACATGTATTTGTACCAATACAACTGTGTCATCAAGTCATAATTTTAAACAACTTTTTGATAAAAGCGGAACAAATAGTTGCTATTTTGTAACCAGAGATATTTTGGAGTTTGTGAAAGCTTGAAGTTTTCCAAGTAAAGATGAGAATGTGTGGAAAATAATCGCTGTTTTCTGGGTTTATTTTCTATCCCACTGTCCACAGTATCCATTTATTCATTCACCCATTCATTTATCCACCCATTCATCCATCTCTGACTAACATTTTAGTTCTAAGTTGAAATGTGTTGTTTTATTTATAGCTGTGAGTTTTTTCAACATCTCCAAACATTATGTCCGACCTCTTCACTCTTGTACTGTAGGTGTTACTTAGACAGTTGCCTTTCAAACGAGTCAAAATGTACAACTTTTTAAATATTTGGCTTAATCCTTCCTTTAAAAATACAAAAACAGACCTTTTTATTGGCATAGTTTCAGAACCTTTTGAAGATGACAGGCCATTTCTCTCCTCTTCCATTTTCATGACCACTATAGGAGTAAATATTAAAGTCAACATCTTCTGCATTTGGACCATTAATTGTAGAACGTCATTGTTTTTTTGTTTTGTTTTTTCTGGTGGCTTTATGCTGGACTTTTGTTTGCAGTAAAAATCCAGAATCATTGCTGGTTACTTGACAACCGACTGCAGACCGCAATAAGTTGCACTGAGAGCAGGTTCACTCCATGCTGCTCATATGGGCAGCAGAGGGCAGCAAGAGCAGGAAACCCAGGCTGAGGTTCTGGTGTCAGATGGATTAGTTTGGTTCTTTCTGGTTCATTTACAAGGAAATTCTTGATAAGTGTCTAAGAAATATATTCAAGTTTCCCAACTTTAGTCTTTATTTCAGTATGGTGTTGGTTGTTTGTCTTGAAAGTTTGCTGTCCTCCATGTTTTAGATGTTTTCCTTGTTCGAGGAACAAGAAGTTATGGAGATTGATTTGATCAAATTAATCTCCATAACTGAGTACTGACCAGCTAATTTAGCTAATTTATTGGACAATCTAAGACATGCAGAGTATCGCCCCCTGGAGGCTGAATTACACACCACTAATGTAAACCATGAAAACGTAATTTAAGATCTTATTACATTGATTTGATTTCAATAGTTTATTTAGGATTTATCAAACTAATTTGTATTTTTTTTATTGATTGCCAGGAAGCCCACAGTCAGTTGCTTACTAATTTTACTCTTTTTTTTTTTTTTGTAACTATAATATAACAATGGTGTTTTCAGTCAGAGGGTTCTTCAGATTTACAGAGATACAGATTGGGATTTCTAGCATATTTTTGAAGAAATTTGAATAATATGAGTTATAACAACATATAATCCTCTGGGATTATTAGTGTTTTTGAATAGAACTGGTGTCTAGAAATCCTAGAATAGATTTTTAAATTTGGTAATCTGTTATGTAGTTTTGAATAATCCAGTCTAGATGTTAGAGATCCTAGCTGATGTACTGTTGGTTGGACTAGATACTGAAAATACAGAGAAATAACATTTTATTAGACTGGAAATTGGAAGACCATTTGTTTTCCAGAATATAAAAATAACACAGTTTAAGTAGCTAAATGTTTTATACTCAAAATTAGCAGAAACCTACTGTTTACTGTAGGATTCTTTGCAGAAGAGGTTCTGAGGGCAAACTGGCTGTAAGACTTGATTCATGAGTTTACTCAGGAAAATCCGGCTCACAGACAGAATGTTAACAAGGGCTCCCTGCCGTTCTTTAATGGCTGTTTGTTTTTATGTTGACCTCTTCACATCCAAGACTTTGAGCTACAGGAAGGAATAAAAAAAGTTTTTAGAGAAGAAAATGAAGCACCAGCAAAAGTTTGGAAAGCTTCTCTCACTTACAGCCCCTTGTCAGAATTAGAAAGCTGCAGGTCAGGAGTGAAAAAATGTTTCCTAATGGTTGATTTTTCAGTAACTTCAAGCTGGTTTCACTCACTGAAAAATACAGATTTATAAAACACATTCAAGAGTTTCAAAATGGATTCTGCTTGTCTTCTAACTGGACTGTCCACATCTGTTGACAGGAAGCCCTGGAGCAGGAGGTCAAAGGCCTGGAGGAACGCGTGACAGAGATCCAGCAGGTGCTGGGCGACCTGAAGGTCCAGCTTTATGCCAAGTTTGGTAACAACATCAACCTGGAGGCAGATGAAAGCTAAGCTGCCAAATGGAAACCTGAGGACTTTTACTTTTCCTTCCAGCTCATGCTTTAGATCCTTGACGATGCCAACAAAAACATGAACGTGGATGTTGATCGTTTGTAGGTTCTGGCCTGTGTTTACAGAAGTCCGTGCTTTGATATTGGAAAGCATATTAAAAAGGACAATAACTGTTAAGATCTGGTTATTAAATGAAATAATGCCGATAATCTCACATGCATGTACTCCTTAAAACTTCTTTTTGTGTTTTGTTACTGTTGATAAAACAGAAGTAAAAAGGTAGAACTTAATTTAAACTTGTTGCAAGTCTTACTGTCTCTAACAAGAACCACATTAATCTAAAAACTCTGATTTTCTGTCGTAAATGTTGGATAAAATCAATGCACTTCCCTGATGCATTTGGTTTAAATAACTATACGACAGTAAATTGAAGAAGAGTGATGCGCAGAGTTGAAGAAAAAGTGAATTTCTCAAGAGTCTTGACTGGATCTTCACCATTGTTTTAGTTAGAAGCGTAAAAGTTGTTGGTCACTGTAAAATGCTCTGCACTCATTCATTACTAAAATGTAGCAGGTTCGAATGAATGTTTTTTATGGCTATACTAATATCTCAGATGGATATTTTGCATATTAGTCCATGTCTTCATCGAGCTGAAATACAGAAGCAGTGAATATAAAAGCATCATTTAAAAATTGCTGCAAGAAGCAATCACTTTATTTGATCTGTTTAAAGTAAAAAGCACTCAGACAAGTTTATTACTGTTCTTTCACAAAAACAGAGCAAACAGTGTCAACTCTGACTTACAGAATTTATCTGTGCAAAAGTATTCATCTCTTCCAACAACTTAGAAATGGTGTGATTAACCAATAATGATGAAGAAAATCCTAGACATCAAAAATAACTTCTGTATCTTAAGTAAAGGGGATTTAAAATATTTGCATACACAGTAGGCAAATATACATAAACCTACCATTAATCTCCTTCCACATTTGTCATTCAATCTTGCAATATTATAGGATGAACTAAAATACAACTCAATTATGTCATGCATGCAAAGGCTAATTAGCTTGATCACCAATGGCTGGAAATGAACAGATTTCCTGTAACGACAAGTTGTTTCTTTGCTATTAGCCCTTTGAGCTGTGTGTACATGAGCATGATAGACAGCACTAAGGCCCTCCTCCTGGCTCTGATTGGTTGTTTAGATCAGGAGTGGTGCATTTTCTGCAGATTGCAAAAGTAGCACTGGGAAGAGTGGAGGAGCTTGTTTTTTTGTTGTTTTTTGCATACTGTACTGTCACAATATAGCAGGGGTGGGCAACTCCAGGCCTCGAGGGTTGGTCTCCTGCAACTTTTAGATGTGTCTCTACTTCAACACACCTGAGTCAAATAATGAGGTCGTTAGCAGGACTCTGGAGAACATGACTGCATTTAGGAGGTGATTCAGCTGTTGGATTCAAGCGTGTTGGACCAGGGAGACATCGAAGAGTTGCAGGACACCGGCCCTCAAGGACCAGGATTGTCCACCCCTGCAATATAGTGACAGTTTCAACAAATGTCTAACAAACTTTTATTCATGTTTAAAGTTGCATACTGCAGCTTTAAATATGGCATAATCCAATCTCAGAGTGAGCTTTCTGGGGGAGATCAGCAGCTGCCTTGAACATGTAAATTATCTGTTGATTGATGGACTCCTACAGCCTGAGGAAAAACTTCTCGGCTGAATTGATTTTTGGCAGCAACAACCTTCTACAACATTATTGCTGATGTCTTCCCTCCTGGGAATCTTTAAACGCCTCCTTATTATCCTTTTATTTGCTGTATTTATTTAGCAGTTCCTGACTGCTGTCTGGAGGGAGAAGTTTACTCCTACATGTTTTTGTAGTTTGCCTGTAATACAGTGTAATATGTGTTGTGGTTCAGATCAGGTCGTGTTGAACCCACTTTAACTGCTGGATTTGTAAATCCTAAAAACTGAAAGATTGCCGACTTATCTAGAGTCGGTTGGTTTTTGTAAAGAAAATGGTAAAACAGTAATCAAGGGTCATTTGATAAAATTACTCTGAAACCATATTGGAGCAATTTATAAAGCAAAAATTTGGATTTATCAAAACTATATCAAATCTCTAGCGTAGATTCAGTTTAATTTAAAGGCATAGATCGATTTTATGTGCTTGTCTAGCCCTATGGAGAGTCAGAGGAGAGAGAGACCAACTCCAGGAATCAAAAGGTGAGAGGCTGCGTACTCAGACGGGTAGCTGGAGAAAATCCTGCCCTCACATTCAAGCTGCACAAATTCAAATTGAAATTAGCTCTAACAGTTTGTTACCTAATTTATTGCAATAATAATGATTAGTTCTTCAGCCCTTCCCTTCATCATGAGTAAACAAACCAAAAATAAAATGTTCTGTATTGGTGTCCCTGCTGGCAGTGGCTCCCTGATGTTTGGACCCTTTGAGTATCCATGAAGATTATTTTTATTCTGCTGCAGCAGGATGGGGGTATGCACTCAGCTGCTGTGAAAACACTCCTCTTTTTGGTTTCATGGCATGTTTCAGGTTATCGTCCTTCTGGAATATGAAACACCGCCAATCAGATTTGCTTTGTTTGACTTAATCTGAGCAGATTGTAGATCTGTCTGCTCCTGTCTCTATTTTCATTTTGTTGTCCTGACGACGTGTGCTCTTCCAGGATTTGTCCTTTAGGGATGGGATGACTATAGGTAGTCATTGATTTTAATTTGATTTGTCTGAATAATACTCTTCTTAAAATGATCCTGAAGCTGCCCTTGCTCTTGAACTGACGTGTATTTTCTAAGTATCTTTTTTTTCCCCCTTCAGTCAAACATTGAGTTAAATTAAATCTATGAGAAGCTTACAAATCCAAGACATCTGGACTGGCATTTTCCCAAATTAGATGGGAAGATGTAGTTATGTGAGTGTTAACATCTGAATTTGTTACATTATATATTTAAAAATTCCTATTTCTGGCTTTTAACAAATGCCCAAAAAATTTGGCAACCCTATCTGGCCTTGAACAGAAAAGGTTTGATGGCAGATAGCAAGGAAGCATTTTTTACATGCATTTTTATGCAACGTATAAAATGATCTGTTCTCATGTTATATTATTTTTGTTTTAAATCAACTCACGTATTAGCTTTAAAACATAAGGGTCCATTCTGATACAAGAAGGATGGTTTTCTGATGTCAAATTATTGTCAGAATATCATAACAGCCCAAATGTGAACATCTCTTTGATCGCAAACCAATTTGAATTTTAAAAGTTTTCTTTCTATTTGGGCCTTCATGGCTCCAACTGTTCCTATAGTCATAAAATGAATGAATTTCAGGTGTAAATTTTGTTTCTCGCGGTGCTGTTAGGACAAATTTTCCCCTCCTTTTTGCTGGATGGTTGGTGGCCCTCTCAAATATCAACAATGCACAAACCTCATTAAACTGCATCCTGGAGTGTGGCCCCCGTCAGCTAATAAAACATCTAAAAGAAGAACCGGAAAGCTTGAAATCATAGCAGACACCACTGGAGGATCAAGATCTCAATTAACAAGTCTCTCCTCCCGGTAGGTTTTTCTGCTGCAATGATTAAGAGGAGCTGCACCCACACAGGCGTGTCTTTATGAACAGCTTGTTAAACCTCGGGCTCAGAGGAACACACATGGAAATGACTGGACTTATTTCCCCGATGGCCTTGTTTACTCTCTGTCTCAGTTCCTGCTCTTATTCTCTTTAGCTGCTTATTTCCTATCTATTCTTTTACTTCCCTGCTTCCGTTTCAACTACAAGCACTGAATGCTGATACATTGGAGTCCTCCAGCTGAACTGCAAAAACTCTGACAGATTTTGCATGACCTTGTTCTAGTTTGTCAACTAAAAAAATTGAACTAATAATAATTAAGCTAATATATTATCAAAGTCTGCTGGAGGGCTGTTAAGGCACTTTGGATTTTCAAGAACATGCATAGATTAACTTGAAGGAGCATCATGTGAAGTCAAGCTAAGGTATAAATTTGATATTCGTTCCCTGAATATTTTTCAGGCATCAAGTAACAACTGAAACATGCCAGTGGGTGTCTCTGTCTCTCCAGCAATTTTACAGCGAATCAACTGCAAAACCTTTTAAACATGTTTGCACATTGCAGATATTTAAGAGTATGCCTGTAAAGTTCACGTCACGGTTCTGGCAGAAGAATGCTGAATAAGGGATGGAGAAAAGTTCATAAATATTTTAATGTGAGAACAAAGTTGAAGCAGAAAGAATGTGTTTTGAGTTTGATATGCATCAAACAGAGCTTTATTACATCTTCTATTCTTAATGAAGAGATCTGTATTCTTTGCAGGTCTAGAAAGCCAGTGCACCGTCGCCTGCTTTTAGTTCAGAGTTTGTGAACGCTTCATTGTTTTTCGCTAAGGTGAAAAATTGTTTGCTCACTGTCTCCACATGTTTGGCTAAATGTCAGGAGAGTCAACCCAAACGGCTTGAGGAAGCCACAGCCATTCTTCATCACCTCCAGCTGTTGTATCTCAGCCAGACCCTATTCATTACACACCATCCTCCGCCTCTCAAAAGCACAATGCAGCACCTGTCAAACGGCAAGCTGAGCCCATCATGGACAGTAATGCATGTATTTGTAGAACTGAGAGCCAGCAGAATGGAGCAGACTGGACATGTAGCTTGTTCTTAGCTCTGTTAGATGGCTAGGATGCCACATGTTTGATGACTTACAGTTAAGGAGAACAAAAACAAGGGAAAAATGAGAGGTTTGAATTAAATATTACATAAACACAGTAGTTCCATTAAAAAGGACAGTTATGAGAAATCAGGCAGTTTACATTCTTGTTAGAAAAGCTGAGTGCAGATCCATTCCTCAGAACCGTTTTTGGAAATCCATCATTTCATCTCTGTTACTTTTGCTCGCATAAAGTTAGAAATATGAGTTTTAATAATGACATCATTAAGATTAGATAGACATAGATCTTACAAAACTGTGTGTTTTTTGTGTGATATTGTAAACCCACCATGGTTCCTGGAAAAGGTTCTGAAAATGGAAACTTGGATTGGTTTGGCTTATTTATTTATTTATTTATTTATTTATTTGTCCCTGCTTCGCAGTTCTTATGTTGCTGTCACACATAAGTCAGCGACTTTGGAATAGACTAGTAAACAGGTGCAGAGGTAGTAGTATCTGGTGACACCAACCTCATTCTTGTCACTTCTGAAAATTGCCTAGAAATACAGTAAGCAGAAAAACAATCTAATGTGTGGAAATTCTGAGCGTTAA